GAGGTGAACTGTTGTTGACGAAGCCCCGTCACCACTTCGGACGAGTCACAGCCATCCTATGGAGACGCTGGACAGGTAGCGTAACTGGACTTCGTTTCTTCTGATTCATCTTCAGAGAGGTAAAGGAGTCTAGTCTCCTACTTAGCGTACCGAGGAAAAGCTGGGTCGGATGGAGGGTGTCGTCTTGTCAACACTTTTCACTCATACACACCACATTCTCCCTCATCCATACTTTACTCCCTTTAAACTTCATTTCCATCTTTAAATTCTTCTCTCAAGTAGAAATCATTCCAGATATTTTAGAAATGTCTGTGTAAAGTGCTCATTCCACCGCCATGTGGATTGAGGTCTGCTGTTCTGCTGAAGAGTGAAAACAATCGCCGCATTGTTTCTCACTACCTGTAAAGCTGTTTAATTATGTTGTTATTCTCATATTTGCCAAATTAATGTAAATGTTTGATGTTAAACTTTGATTCTGTAAAATAAATGACCACATTCATTTTGATGGGTCAAAGATAAATAACGTCTCACGTTACATTTCATTAAATTCAATGCACGTTTTATTCAGTCCAGATAAATGAAGAATCCGTTTTAATTGATGAATATATCTCAGCATCTGTTCATCTACACTAGTTGTGTTTTAACTGCAGCTGCTCTGCAACATGATAGTTTAAACGGGTCGATTTCTAATTCAATATTTTAAAATATCTATTACTGCTTAAGTTTTGAAAGGTGGTCTTTTTTAAATTTATGGTAATTCCAGTTACTGAACTCAACTAGAAAATATTTGGCCTTTTTGTTATGAGAGATTCGTTCAACCTTTATTTCTACAGGTAAATCCCATTGAGCCTCGAGGACTCATTTACAAGAGAGACCTGATTTAACAAAGAATGATGACAACATGACAACAAGACTGACGTAATTTAGTTCAAGTTATAGATCATTTGTCAAAGACTGCAGCATAAATTGTGACATTATCATTAAAGAAAAACGTGATTGTGGAGATGAGTCAATTTTTTCATGTTTTCCAGGTAAACCACAGGAGAATGACTTCATGAACTGAATGTTGCATTCAAAGTATCACAAATGTACAAGATCTAATTTTCTGTCTTCTATTAATCAATAACAGCTTAATCAAGATGTTTGAATAAAATTACTTTAACACCATAACCTTCACAAAGTTGGTATTTACTGCAGGACTGTTCATTTACATTAGTTTTATATTATTAGTTTAGTGTTTGGTAATCATGGGTCAAGTTGAGATGAAACTCTTTCAAGACAGAACAAGAAATAAGAATTATTACAAGAATATATCAGCATCAATAAACTGTAGGACAGTAACAAAACACTTATTAAACTATCACAGGTACATTGAGATGGAGCTGGGAAGTTCTTCTTCATGCCAGTTGTCTTCATCTGATCCTTTGTAAAAATGTCAATTTATTTTCCATTAACATTTTTCTTTGCAGGACTGAGTTAATTTTCTTGTCTGAAGTTCTTCTATCCTGCTAATGTATTTTTTTGTGTTCTAATTGTTCCTCAGGTTGTTCATCTCTGTTCCCTGACTGCCTGTTGATCCATCCTCCTGGTCCTGTTGATCCTGGATCATCAGATCCTGACATGTCCCCGTCCTCTGAGGACACATTTTCATCTTTCCCTCATCTCACTCGTCTCATTTCTGTTTCTTCCTCAGTCTCTGAAATTACAACGTCACTGTTAGAATGAAGATTATTGTTCAATAAAAAATATGACATGCCTTATTGTAACACTGTTCGTACCAAAGTTTAATTTAGAACAACATGTGTGATCACTG